AGGCCATCTATAAGAAGGGACAGAGCCTACTTTACTTCTTGAGGAGGCTCAGGTCGTTCAATGTATGTGGTAAGATGCTTCATATGTTCTATCAGTCGGTGGTAGCGAGCACCATTTTCTACGCAGTGGTATGCTGGGGCCCTGGGATTAGAGCTGTGGATTCTAAAATGGTGAACAAGCTCATCATGAGAGCAAGCTCTGTCATTGGGTCTGACCTGGACCCCTTGGAGGTAGTAGCTGAGAGGAGAATGGTGTCCAAACTAGAGGCCATCATGGACAACATCTCCCATCCCCTCTATAACAGGCTTGCAGAAATGAAGAGCACGTTCAGCAATAGACTGATTCATCCACAGTGCCACAGGGAGCGCTACAGGAGGTCATTCTTGCCTTCTGCCATAAGACTGTTCAACACATCCACCTTGCGTCTGGGCAGAGTCAACATTAACAGTGACCTGTTTCTGGACTGAACGCATCTACACATCTACTGCTACATCTGTTCTCTTTCTTTTCTTTTCCCGTTTACAACCGTTTTTTGTGCAACATATGCCAGGGACCTGTGCAATACATTTATATTTATATCTATATCTATATTTACATCTATATTTATATTCATATGTGTGATACGATTTTTCTGAGTACTGTTCTGTTCTAGTTTGTTCTTTGTGTGTATGGACTGTGAGTAACTCTTTTAGTGCACCCCTCACTGTACTGATTGTATTGTATGTATTGTATTATTATTATTGTATCATTTGTTACACTGTGGCTGTGTTGCCTGTGTTAAGCTGCTGTTGCACTGCAATTTCCCTCACGGGATCAATAAAGTATCTATCTATCTAACAGAGACGCTTGTAAGAGCAAGGTGACTTTCTGCTCAATTCAATAAAGCTACAGTACAGATTTTAAATTCTTCAAGCAAAATTAGCTGTTTGTCAAAATCTGCTACTTTGAAAGCAGTACACGACTTCTCAAAAGTCTTACCTTTTGTCTCTCGGGCAAACTCAACAAACGTTTATTTTTTTATAATTCCGAAATTTGAACGGTATGCCTCAAGGACTCATTATAGTATTGTAGCGAATACGGTTCACGCAAGAAAATCAAAACACCGCCCCCCTTCCCAGCCGGGTCTCACCTCCTGCTGTTCCAAAGCCGGATTTGGTTTCAAAGTATGTGTGAAATATATTTTCTTATTCCCGTTATTAATCCAATTTATTTGTACTCATCTGGCTATGTAAAAAATATAGCCAAGAGAATCACTGTAAAGGTTAAATTCCAAGCTGAAAAGAATGTCTTCTCTAACTCTTCAGTTTACAGCTCGTCCATGGTCATTCATTATTAATATTGTAACGAACGGTAGGCGTTCAGATGGTCCAAGCCAGTTGCAGAGCGGTGACAGTACAGCCCTCTGCTCCCCTGCACATAACAGGGCTGCTGAAAGGCTGAAGTGCTGTGCTAACGGAGGACTTCTTTAAATTAGCTGGAAAAACCTCTGTTGAGCAACACAGGAGACCTGGGTTTGAACCCATGTGGTGAAGAGTGAACTGGGGCAGCAGCAGCGAAGGCACAAGCCCAAGAATCTGAATTTGTTACAATGTTATTAATATATATTCTGTATTGCATTTAAATTGGAATGTTTTTATAAATATAAGAAGAGGTGATACACATTTGTGAAGATATCCCTTTTTCCTCCTTTAACTTAAAGAATTGTGTGAAGAAATCCTAATTCTTGACACCATCTTTTATAATAATACATCCAGATACACACACTCACACCATAGCCAACAACAAACTATAATAGTGGACTATATTTATATATTTGGCTGTGTAAGAAACAAAGTAATTCTCTGATCGCGCTTTGAACAACTGGGTGCCGTGCTGTGTCCATTAACACTACAGGGACAATAAAAGTTTTTTTTAAAAAGAAACGGGTGTCAAAATGTTTCTGAAATGTCCACCTGTGATATTTTAGCTGCTCTGTTACATGATTCCATTTTAATATAACTATCAAGTGATGTTAAATCACTATCACATTTGTCTTTTTACAGTAACAGCAAGTGGTGTTCTTACTATGTTCTTTGAAAAGGATAAAATGTTATAACTTTTTATGAAGTACAGAAGATAAGCTTAATAATGTTAGAAAAAGCATGTTAAAACCAGAACCCACTTAGTTACCAAGTTAAAGACTAAAGTTAAAGAAGCATAAAATGTTTAAGAATAATTCAATTATGTATGATGAAGGTGGAAGGTTGTGTACTTTTGTCAACTGAACAATCTTGCTTTTATAAAATATACCAGCTTTTTAATGTTTAATGATTAACATGCTGTAATACACAGTTTACAATTATTAAAAGTCTAAGGAATATACAACTTAAATTCTTAATTGGAAAAAGATTGTCCCTCAGCAGTGACCGGGATTCGAAACTGTGTGTTCTCTGGCGACATCTCAAATACTGTACATGATACGTTAAGCTTTATTAGCTCCACCTGGTGGTTTTGCAAGGTGCTTCTGGATACTATTATCATATTTCAATTAACATGTGGTATGATGTGATATTTTGTGGTATTTTGCACCACACCCGCTCCTTTTTAACGCATCATACCTTGCTCATTTGGAATGGCTGGATCTGTATATTAGCACTGTGTTTAAAACAATCTGTTTAGTTCCCCAGAACACATTAACTACCAATAGCTGGGATATCCATTAACTTAAAAGAGGTGTCATGAACAAATACAAGTGTTATGGAAAGAAATTCTTCGTCAGAGGAACAGGACTAGTCTTGTGCAGTTTTATTGAGCTCTGTAAGGACAGCAACACACGCTGGTTCTGCCCTGCAGAACAGACACACTGCAAATGTTTCCCAATATTTATATAGAGTTAGAAATAAAGTTTGTTTCACAATCTGAGGGCTTGTCCTGTTCTTTGGTATGTAATTACCGCTTGTCCTGCTCTGTCCTGCTCTAGGTTCTGTTCTTTGATATGCAGCACACATTGATCTGCATTATCCTATTTATGGTATGTTTGTGGGTGTTGGTCCTGTGTTTTGTTGTGTAACGTTAAGTTGCTGGAGCTGCTAAAGCAAGTCAGCTTTATTGAATCTTAGCATAACTTTTGTTGAAGGCTAAATTAACAGACCCAGCAACACTTTCCACAATGTGGTTAAGTGGTAATATTGCAAAGCTGGATACATGGGATATTTACATGTCCCACTTGTAAATAGTTTGAATATTAGGTTTAATAAACATCATAACCTTTGTTTAGATACAGGCTGTCAAATCAACATATAATGTTTGTACTGCTTCAGTCTAGTAAAAAGTTAAAAAGAAGATTAAAAGTTAAAAGCTTTAATAAGAGGGGAATCCATCTTTTCGACTTTTTACCAGGGCATCTGCAGAGGTCTTTCAGGGATCTTTGTTGCCAAGATGCCAGTCTGAATAATGAGCATACGTACAGTGTGCAGTTTTGAAAGAGTCTGTAAAGCAGGGCATTTTTAACTTTACATACTAGGTTTATTTATAGTTGTTGTTTTCCCACCAATTTGGTTATGCTTACATATTTTGGATCATCCCTATGCCCACATAGAAGAAAGAATGAGGAAATGGAGACTCTTCAGAGCTACCCACTAATTACACTATTCATGTTTTTACACTCCTGTACTGGAGGCTAAGAATCAGTTGGAGGAAAGTAACATCCCTCGCTGGCTTAATAGCAAGACATGGGCTTCTAAAAAGATTCTTTGGGAAATGCTAAACCAATTGTGCTTACTAGTTGATCACAAACAGCTAAAGACATCTGGATCAAAGAGCTCAATGTGTGCTCATAGTGAGCACGTTCACAGGTTTGTAGCAGCAATGCTTATTACTAATTAAGTTTGCTGCTCCCCTGCAAGTCTCTCTCTCCCTTATCTCAGTGGTGCTGGACACAGAGAAGCCATTCCATGTTGTTCAGATTTAAGGTGTTTTCTTGTCTGATAGAGTTTCCTGATAAGGAACAACTCCCAGGGGTAAGATTCTCCACCCACCCTAATGAATGGTAATCTCTGGCGCTTTTCTGTATAGGAGATTCCAAGGGAGAGTCTCATCCCAAGGTGTTTACAACCCTAAGGTCAGAGATCACTGTTATTCATCCTCCACCTTGATTAGCCAATCAGGAACTTGTAGAGCGGGGTAACCTCAAGTGGGTCTCGAATGCCCATGGAACTTTCAACCAATGAACGACCGTAGTTCCTCCAGATAAAAGAGGCAGCACATGGCCCAGAATAAGCCCCTCCAGGATATTCTCAGACTCAGCTTGGGCAATCATGTAACGGCCAGTGTGTCTGATTTCCAGGACTTTACTTTCTTCTAAAAGTCGAAACCGGGGGTGTCTGCGCATAACCAAAGGATCCGCCCGAGGTTAGCCCAGCAGCAAGCCTTGTGAATCGCCAGTAACCCGCCTGATCAACGAGTGAACTACAGTTGGAACTGTCGACAGATGAGTCTTAGTATTCAGCACTAGCGCTACATCAGGAACGAACCGGTCTTCTTCCCGTCTAAAGAGTGTGACTTGCTCAGACCCACAGTCACTTTTCATGTGCAAAAACTCTGCTAGTTTAGCCAAGACTAACTAGCCTTTTTTCAGAGAGTCACTGCCAGCTCCCCGCAGCAGGAATCTCTCACTCCTTCTCCCACACCTCCAGCCGCACCGGGACAGTCTGGCACCAAGCCAGATGATGCCTATTGGACGCAGCAACAGCCTGTCGCTGTTCCTTTGTGTCCACTGGAGATCTGAATCCATGTAGTTTGGATGAGTATTCAACACAACATATTGCAGCTCGAGAATACCTCAATCCCAGTTGATGTCAATTTAATTCCTATGAGTGATGTACTTGCTTTTGAGTTTCTAGTGTAGAAGTTGTAATCAAAGCTCATTAATGAAACGGTATAAATGAATAGTATACTGAAGTATGTGTCTCTTGGTATTTGTAACTCTTCGTGACTGAAAACATACGCTTTGTATTCTGCTAACCCTCACTATAAGATCTGTTATGTTTATATCCACATTTTATGTATTAATAAATGCATTCTTGTGTATTAGTATCCTTGTGTGTGCGTTGCTGAGTTGTTCCGCAAGGTCAGTTTTCATTTTGTGATTTACTGCTACAATTAATAATTGTCCCAGTACATGCACAAAACCCCTACAGGTTGAACCACTCAAGAACCCCATTTTTTTCCAGAATATTCATTCTGACCACTTTCCTGTTTTAGGGCGAATAATGTTGTTTCAGAACTCCATGGAAGTCTATTAAAATGTGTGAACCAAGCTAATTCAATTCTTTATTAACATGTAAAATTTGTTGCAAACAACTAGGACATGAGATGTATGATCTCAGCTGCACACAATGAAGCTGCACTGCTAGATGTTACTGCAACTTCTGTTGAGTTATTTAGTTTATTTAGTTCTGAGTGATGACTATGTTTCCTTTAAAGCCAGTAACCAACCAATGAAAAACACAATTTTATTTGTCTGTTCCTAGATAACCTGTGGAGCGATTATGGGCCCCAGACCATGCTTGTTGAGAAGAAGAACCAGCCCTCTGTTCCTGCAGTGGATGTCTCTAGTAATGCTAATTTGCCTTATGTGTCAAATGATATTGCTACATTTTTCACTCTCCTGGTTGGGATCTACTTTCCTTCAGTGACAGGTAAGAATGTGTTTTACATGTCTCCTAGTGCCAGGGTTTAGACAAGCTCTGGTCTATTCACATTATTTAAAAGCATTTCAAGCAAGTGCAACACTAAAGACTAATCTCCTTGTGTCTTTCAAAAGAGATTTAAAAAGACTTGTGACTCTGCTATCTGTTTGAGATGTGAATATACTGTACTTGGATATATTGTAAATGAAAAGGCTGAGAATGTTTTCTAGCTACCTTTACACTTCATGGTTTTCTATTCATGTTTATGTGATCATAGTAATAATTTTGTTTATTTAATTTTTAATTAAAGACCATTGGTTACACTATAGCCAATTAGGTGGGTCATAGCAAAGTGATTGAATACTTATACAATCGGTTCTTTTCTGTTTTATATTTATAATTGATATGGGAAGATCTGTAGAGTTTTTTTTTTTCATTTTGACATTATGAAGTGTTTTATGTCGATCAGACAAATCACACTATGACACAATAAAATATGAAAAACATCCAAGAAGGTGAATACTTTTGATGATCACTGTACTTGTGGAAGTGCTACTTTCACAGATAGGATTTGCCTTTTTGTTTTCTGCTTTTCATCATTACCTTCAGTAAATTTGGCTTTGTCCTCATCTAATGGTTCTCACTTCAGTATCCCTATACAGTACCTGGCTAGCACTGTGCAATTAATTGATGGACTTTTTAAAAGAACTGAGCAGAAGTACAAAAGGAGAAGATCTTAACTTGAGGGCTAAGGACAGGATAGATCCTCCTCTATCAGTTTGCTTTATGTACAATAAAGTAGAATTGTATGTTCTTTTTTTAAAGTAAGTGTCACGATTGTAGTCCCTCCTCCTTAAGGGCGCTCCGGCTCTTCCTTGTTTGCCCTATTCCCCGCACTTGCCCCTTGTTCCAGTCTCCTTCCTGTCCCTTAAAAAGCCAGACGCAGTCACCAGTCGAGGCTCTGCATCTGATTTCCACATCGTGCGAGTCCGGGACCTGGTTGTGCCTGGCTCCATTATGCTTTTAGCTTCCTGCTCCTGTTCCTGTTCCCCCCACCAGTCCCAACCCGGCCACTGTTTTTAATCCCTGTTCGTTACAGTAAGATCTGTAAATAATACGGTAAATCAAACACAATAAAAGTCAAATGAAAACAAACAGTTACAAACAAAGAAAACGCTAAATATAGCGCTGTTACAATATAATTTCCGCTGTTATGTTGTAACAGCAAATCAGCCCTCTTTTTCGCATCACAAAAATTAAAGAATGTAACAAAAAAAACTTTTTCAGTTTCTGTTTTCAGCTAATGACAGTTCAGTAGGTTCTTTTAACGGTTCTAACCTTCTAACCGGTTCTTTGTTTGGTCAGTTGTTATCTCCGTTTCCCACTGTCAGCCCCTTGGCTGTTGGCTAACGGGACTGGTATTAGGTTCACTCATTCAATCACTCTGTCGCTCTGGGACTCTCAACTCAAATGCACACAACATAGTACTTAATGGTGTACTTAATACACATACCAATAAGAAGCATATCTAAAAAGGGAGAAGCTCCGCTGTCGCTGTTGGGACTGTAAGATTGGTCCCCTCAGATGATTATTAAGGCGGCCTGCCACACCATATTAACAGCAGCTCTTGGTTCAGTGAGCTTTCTATTTTGATTCATGGGATGATGCAGACAGTAAGAGAAAAGGCAGAAAGAGCTCTGTAAAGTGCTTATTCCCTATTCATAAAGGGGGTGTTCTTTAGGTTTTGTGTTATACGTCTTAACAATTGTGGCTGTGGTTTTGACTGCTGAGCTAAACATACAGCTTAAGCGCTTTGAGAAGCCACCTTTAAAGGCGCTATATAAGATACATTTTATTATTATGATTAAAGAGTTCAAAAGGTAAAAAGGAAAGAACAAAAAAGCCTTAACTCTTCTTGTAAAGACAATGTCGTCTTTGGACAAAAATTGTCCAAATGCCGAAAAAGAGATGCTTTAGGTATTACATGTTTGTCCTTCAAGGTTTTAAAAAATTAAGAAACATACTTAAGTAGTTTCAAGAAAAGTGAAAAAGGCTTTCCGCTTCAGTCCTGCAATAAGCCCAAATGAATTAAAACCCTCCTGCATGGGGAAAGCCTCTTCTAAGTGAAGCCAATTGGAAGCATTTGGCAGTCGTGGGTGAAAGTTTTGTCTTTTTTCAACCCCAAACCAAAATTATTTTGCAGATTAAATATCTTCGTGTTTCTTAATCTACTTTCTTTCTAATAGGAATAATGGCTGGATCAAACAGGTCAGGAGATCTGCGTGATGCTCAGAAGTCTATCCCGATTGGCACTATTATGGCTATAGCAACTACCTCCTTCATTTGTATCCTTCTATTTGTTAAATTGAATTGACAAAGAATATTTTATCAAGGGCTGTGTCACCCACAGTAGAATATATCAATTGACAAAAAAGATATTACCATTAATATCAATCAGAAATGCACCATTGTATATTAGTGAACTTGGTAATATAAAATGGTGGATCGCTGATGAGCAACTAAACATAAACATATTTCTGAATAAATTAAAATTTGTATCCTTGAAAAAAGTTCATGAAAGTCAGACAATGATATTCTGTATATTATGATCTGGACAATTGTTGTGATACTGATATTAAGTGTGTGTCATACTGTGACATTGATAAAAATAATGTACGGTATTCCACCTGCAACACGAATGTGCTATTTACCTTAATAAAAACACAAATATTTCATGTGTGCTGTTGTTTGGTGCCTGCATTGAAGGTGTGGTCTTAAGAGACAAGTAAGAGCTGTTTTATGTTTTTGTCAGTGGATATTTGCTAGCTGATTTGTTTTGCTTAGGAGAGTAGAAGGAAATAGCAGTACTCCATAAGAAGGCTGCATTGTTGTTGTTGATAAACTTGTAATCAATGTTGTTAATAAGCTTAAAGAGAAGGTTGCTTATTTCACATTGTTGCCCCCAAGCTCTTCATATGTATTAAATATATACAGTTACGTAGATCAGAAACACTGTGCTTGATGTAAAATATACTCAGAAATCAAGAGATAGATAAAAATGTTTTTCTTAATTATGATTTTAATACTTAAAGGTCTGCTTCATTATTTTGAAAATCAACTATATTTGCTGCTGCACATTTTATAAATGATATTTAGGCTCCCCAAACCTTCTTACCTAGACAGTGCCAGGATACAGCCTGAGTTCTGCAGGTGGTAGAATGTAAATTGTATTCCTCAGTAATGGCACCGTCTGATGTTGCTGAAGTGTCTCAGCACTGCATTGTTCGTGTATACAAGAGGTCTGGTTTCCTCTGGTTGAGATGTCAGGTGGAGGCTCTTTAATTGTAGTGTTTTTATTTCTGCTGCAGGTTTGGAGACTCAGTAAGTGGGAATCTGGTGATTGGTACATTATCCTGGCCTTCTCCCTGGGTCATTGTTATTGGCTCATTTTTTTCCACCTGTGGAGCTGGATTGCAGAGCCTCACGGGAGCCCCACGGCTTTTGCAGGCCATAGCAAGAGATGGAATTGTGCCTTTTCTACAGGTGCGAGACCTGTTTGTCAGGATTCGGCATCCTCTAGTCTTCTGTACATCTGCACACAGCAGACCAAAACTACTGCACCATGTAATTACTGTACTACTCAGGAAATGAGCAACTGAAATTCTTCATTGTCTCTTTGGCTTCATTGGTCAGAAAAATGTTTCTAGCTACAAAATACTGTATACTACTGTAATCTGCAGTCACAGTCCTCTAAATTGCCTTAAAGTCATCAGATCATGTGTTATTTTACAGCACTCTTATATGAAATCAATATAAGGTAACATGTGAGTTTCACCCCAGAACTTAACATTACATATAAATTATTCTTGAACATTCAGAATATTTCTATCTTCTTTCAGGTTTTTGGTCATGGAAAAGCAAACGGTGAGCCAACCTGGGCCTTACTGCTCACTGCAGGCATCTGTGAAATAGGAATTCTTATTGCATCTTTGGACAACGTGGCTCCGATTCTCTCAATGTAAGTATACAGGTAGTACCCATACTCCAGCTGTCTTATTGTGCAACACTATCTGTCAAGAATCAAGAATATCTCACAAATTACAAACATTACACAGTGTATTACAGGTGTGCACCATTTTACTCAACCATTTTCAGAGACCTGGATAGCTTTAGATGCAGGTCTGCTGCCTTTTAAAAGGGAAAAATTACCAAGTAATAAATGCAATATAATACATACTTGGGTAATGAGTAAACTGAGATTCTATATAGTTTTAAGGAAGTCCATGGCTAACCTGACCAGTTTGGTTCTGTAATGAAACATAACATATTGTTATTGCTCTTTCCAGGAGCTGCCTGGAAGTCTCAGCTTGTTCTGAACTAATTCATTTTTTTATATTCTGCTCAGGTTCTTCCTGATGTGCTACTTGTTTGTCAACCTGGCCTGTGCTGTACAGACTCTGTTGCGAACCCCCAACTGGAGGCCTCGTTTCAAATTCTACCACTGGTAACTCACGCTGTTCCACTCTGGTCCTTCCAAAACTTTACCTGTTTTTTAGAAGAACTGATCGGTAGAGTATCCAGATATGAGCACTCCAGTTGTGTTGTGTTTCTGTGTGCATCCTAATGTGTAGTGTAGTGTTATGTGCGGAGAGGGGCAAAAATAGGTGGAGTGGTGGCTCTGTGGCTAAGAATCAGTGCCTGTGGCTAGAAGGTTGCTGGTTCAAATTCCACATCTAGCAGAGGAATCCTACTCCTGTGGGCCCCTGAGCAAGGAGAGCAAGCAACATGGTGTGTAGGGCTTTAATGAAGTGTTTGTTCCATTTTTGTACTTCTGGCATGTGATTAGACCCCAAACTTCAGTGGCTTATAATATAGTGTGTTGGATTACACTTTGAAATATCTGGTGCTGTATTTTTGCAAATGTTGAGAGTTGATATTGTAGAACCACCTTCTGTAAAACCACCATGGTGTAGAAATCCTTTCATGCCCTCTCCTACAGCGCCTTCACTGCCAGATCAAAACTCCCCGATGATCTGATCCACAGACCATTGTATGGCTAGGTGTTTGTTTGTTATTCTTCAGTGTGAAGTTATTTAGTTCCAAATTTTCATTACTTACTTCTTCTCAAAATACATTGATTTATTTTCCTAGTAGACTTTACTACCTAAACGTTCGTTCATGCCAAATTGAGTCAAACGCTTTTCTGAAGTCAATCTTTCCTTTTTTTTGTTGGTATACTATAAATATGATTGGATGTAGACTATGATACATTAGCATAATAATACAGTTTTGCACATTTTAAGGAAAAACATACAATACAACATCATGAGCTCTTATGGCAAAAAAATATTTAAAAAACAACAGTAATCAACACGCTCTTTCAGATGCAAGCCTTCCAGTTGTTTAGTCATCAAAGGGCTCTTTTCAGTTTGCAGCTTGATGCATATTGCACATGGAGGATGCAGCCATTACCTGCCCTGTGTCAGGATTATGGTTGCTTTAGTAAACTGAGTCAGTTAGGAACTGATAAATCAATTATGAGATAATATTTAAAGGGAAACGTTTAAAAGGAAAGTTTCTATAAATCAATGAATAAATAAATTAATAGCTTTTTGTGATTCTGTCTTGTGCGCCAGTAACAGTCTATCTGTGTCTGCCTGTTACTGCAGGACCCTGTCTTTCCTAGGGATGAGCCTGTGCCTCGCTCTGATGTTCATTTGCTCCTGGTATTACGCACTTATGGCCATGATGATTGCTGGCTGCATATACAAATATATTGAATATCGAGGGTAAGACAAATACATCCATCTCACTGGGCAACTTTAGATGTGCAGGAACAGGTAAAGGTTCATTCCTTGCTGAAGGGTAAAGAAAAGAAACACAACATTTTGACTGTGGAGCCTTCTTCAGGTGTGTTTCTTTTCATTCCATTTTCATTCATTTCTTTCCCTTTCAATGTGAAATGAACCTTTTCTTGTTTTTTTTGCAGCCTACGCATGCTATGTAGCTACCTTCTTGAGATTTAGATGAGTGTATTTTGAATGCTGCAGACCATATTCATTTATAGAAGGTTTTACCTAGTTGTAGTTTCAAATTGATGTTATCAATAGACTGTGAGAATGTGAGTCAGTCTAAAAATTTAGAGAGAGCATACCTTCCTTTTTTCTATTATGGTGTACATCTTACGTAAATAAATTATTGAATAAAAAAAGAATAACATGTCCTTTCAGTTCACATGCTCTGCTGGGAAACCTCACCTGTTCCCCTCACATTTTGCAACTCTGAGATCACAGCTTGAGCAGTTTAACAGATCCTGTGCCAAAGAATTTAAAAACAAGAAAAACAAATCTAACAAGCACTTGAATTGACACCATGGTGTTACCTCTAGGTGACACAATTATAGCTTTGCTTCAGTATTTTGCCCAGTTTTTGGGCAGCACGATGTCGCAGTGGTCAGCATTGCTGCCTTTTCCAAAGACTGAGGTTTTGGGTTCATTTCTGGACAGTGTTTAATCATAAGGTCTGATGTGCTGCATTTGTGTCTATCCAGAGCTGAAAAGGAATGGGGAGATGGGATTAGAGGTTTGTCCCTCAATGCAGCACGCTATGCCCTCATCAAGCTGGAGGAGGCGCCACCTCACACCAAAAACTGGAGGTATGTCAGAGTGGAAAATTACCATCACACTGTACACAAGTGTGCTGATGGTGCCATTGAGGAACCTCACATAATCAGGCTTGACCACTCTGTGGTGCCAAGGAATGTAGAAATCATAGGCAAGACTTATCATAATCTGTTGTTTACCATTCCAAACTAGTCAAGATTTGTTGATAATGGAATCAAATCAAGTTTATCTTTGAAAAAGATCTTTTACACATCCAATATTTGGTTCATTATTTTCCTACCTAGTTCCTGCTAACATAGTAAGTATTCACATGACTGGAATATTCTGTAGAGATTTGCAGGTTGTTGATGGGATGTTTCAGTGGCCATTTTTTTTGCCCTAGACTTATTTAAAAACATAGACTTTTCCAGTTCAATAATAAAAATTGTATCTTCGATGATTCTGATAATACTTCCTTACGCCTGAAGAAGGATTAAAAGCATAAATCTGAATTTGCAACCTTTAAAATAAAGTGTGATTTAAATATCCAACTTTTCAAACTATTTCTAGTTTCTAACCATGTGCATCCCAAAACACATTCCTGGTAAGTCAAAGGATCGGTCTTAGCCATCTTGAATGCTGAACAGCAAATTCTTTTTTTGTTCATTACATTTTTTGTTTCAAGATTATATTAAGCTTATGTGTCATTTTCAAAAGATAAACTGTTTTACAAATTCTGGACCCAGTCAGGCACTATATTATTTTGATATGTTTCATTGGCCTTAACAACCTTTGCTGTATTTAACTTTTACTGTAATGATTTGCAGTTCTAAACGTTAGTGATGTCCTTGAAACTTTGTTGGATGGGTGGACTCATAATGAAGCACAAATTACTTTGTATTTGTATTACCTATTCCTATTAAAGCACATTATACAGGATAACAAGTTCTCACTTGCTATGTTTCCCTTACACTATATTTGGCAGAATTCTGACAGAATTGGTTTATATGGAATTCTATTGCTCGGTATTGTCTGATTCTATGAAACATATCGGGAATGCCTCAGGAGATGCACAGGTTGACACTCTCGGATTTCACACATGTTCAGCCGTACATTTGGGCTGAGCAATGTGAAAGGTACAAAAGAGAGAAAAATAATTATTTGGACATGCTGCAAAAAGTATTAGAGGCATGGGTGCTCATTTTCATTTTAAGAAACTGAGAAAGTATGATGAAAGGTGTAAGTAATTTTTGTAATAAAATGGAATTTGTAACATTAGCACCTCTAAACAGTAAAGAGTTCAGATGTTGTTTCCGGAGTCTTTACCTTTGACTTTTCTGAGCTATGGTTTCTTTTTGTGTATCACTTGCAGACCCCAGCTTTTGGTGCTACTGAACTTGGACTTGGATCACAGTGTGAAACACCCACGGCTGCTCTCCTTTACCACCCAGCTGAAGGCAGGGAAGGGACTAACCATTGTTGCCTCTGTTCTCGAGGGATCATATCTAGCAAAGAAGCCTGAGGCAAAGAGAGCTGACCAGGTAACAGAGAATCAATGTTGTTGTACTCATTTGTCTCTGTGTACGAACTATACCTCCAGAGGCAGTGATCAGCATTTGGATTTTAAATGATCATCACACTGCATATTGATTCTAATCCTTGTATCATTGTTTTGTACAGTACAGTGCACAAAAAAGCATTTTGAATGCCATGAGAGAAACTCATATTACAGATTTTGTTTGAGATATAAGGTACTTTAATTTTAAAGTTTGTATTCAAATAATTTGTATTTTAAACAGAAGGCTGCCATCTGCTAGACCTCTTTGGGAATCACCACCCAATCTCAGCTGTTCACATATCATTATTGGTGATGGGCTTAAAGTCATAAATTAAAAATGTACTGTATATGCTTAGAAAATATATAAGTTGTGAAAAATGTGATTTCACTAAATGAAAGGTAAGCACTAATTAAGGAACGAAATCCTGCCCTTATTGTGCAAACAGGCTCTGAGCACCTTAATCAAATCACTGTAATAATGCATTTGTATTTAATTTGGTTGTAAGTCTGTCAGATCCATGTAATTAGCAAACAGTAGAGAAGCTGCATTCTCAAGCTAGAGATGTAGACTCCCGGAGGTGTTTTACTAGACGTTAAAACGTTTCATGCAATTGTACACATGCTGTGTGGGTCACCTGGCTAAAAATCGTTGCTGCATAGCCAAACAAAATAATGAAAGCAAATGTATGGCACAAAAGACCGCAGTTCAGCAATTGTACGTAATCGGCATTAAAATGCATTGTTTTCCATTGCTGCAGGTTCTCCTGTATTTCATTAAATGGGAGTTTTGTAAACCCAACCTGTAGCCCTTTGGGGTGCAGTCACTCTCCCAGTAGCAGTGGCAGGAACAGAGAGGGGCTTTACAGCCATGGCACAAGGCCATCTCTGTGGACTCAGTGCATCAATGATGCAATGGGTTGACTACTCGTATGAAGATTTAATTGATGATTTTGACTCCCAAAAGCTAGGCAAAATGGTTTATAAAATGTTTTTTAATAACATTTCTCCATGTGCTCAGACTTACTGATCTCGCCTCACTTGTACACTTACAGTATTTCTTATTTATTACATATTTATTTCTACAATTCCTTTCTACAAAAGTTTCAATGCAGTGATTTGTAAGTTATGGTTTGCTATAATTTTGAAGTTACAGAGATCCTGTTTATGACTGCCAGTGTTAAAATATGTTATCCTCTGTGCTACCAGATCTAGATCTTTTTCTTCCAGCTGAAAGCATGGAGTACCATAAGCATTTCTTGCATCTCCACAGCTTTAATAATGAAGGTGCTCTAGTTTTAATCTTTCATCTAATTAGTGCATTGTATACATGTCATTTATGTGGGTACCATCAATTAACAAACAGTAGGGACTGATAACACAGGATGTGGAAAAGACTGGCTGAAAAGGAGGGATAGGTTACAAAAGAGAAGAGGCAAGAAAACAGTACACCTGAGTCTGGCAATCAAGACATAGTAGTAGCCCTGAGGCACCACACAGTCTGCATACAGCCTCAACCCTGGGATTATACCAGTTACAGCCACCCTGCTATTTGCCAGACAGAAAGTAAATGTGCAAACGATGAAACTCATGTGATGAAATTCATTTTTAGTCAAACAGGTAATTTCGTCTTGTCTTAATCCACTCAAACAAAAATGTAAAACAATTTAGTCTTTGTCATCATCATTGTGGATTCTTTTCATGAGCATTTCATTATCGTAAAATAAAATAAAAAAACTTGTTCCGAACATTTTTGTCATAATTTTCATTGATGGAATTAACACTTGATGCAAGTCACTGTTTTTACTGTGGGGGGAATGTTTTCGAAACACAGTGTACTGTATACAAACTCCACTGAATAGGCAGTGGCTGGCTGTGGAAGAAAAGGATCGATCAGCGAGATGCATGAATGATGAAAATGACGGCTTTGCTACGGAAATGCATGAGGGCTGGTGGAGAGGTGTAGGTGTGGGGAGACGAAAGGGGAGCCAAGGTTATGCTGACAGTCATAATGGAGAAGCAGGTGAAAGTCTGGAGGCACAGCAATACCACTGTACAGGTGCTGAGGGAGAGAACTGTAGGACTTGTGCAATCAGCATGCAAAGGAATAAAAGGGAATATTTAATGGCTAAATTGATTCAGGAAAGTAATAATAATTGCTTACACTTATATAGCGCTTTTCTGGACACTCCACTCAAAACGCTTTACAGGTAGTGGGGACTCCCACCTGGATGATTGGACAGCAGCCATAGTGAACCAGAACACTCACCACACATCACCTATCAGTGGGGAGGAGAGCTGAGTAATGAAGCTAATTCATAGATGGAGATTATTTGGAGGTCATGATTGGTAAGGGCCAATGGGAAATTTTTGCCAGGACGCTGGGGTTACACCCCTACTCTTTTTGAGAGACACCCTGGGATTTTTAATGACCACAAAGAGTCAGGACCTCAGTTTTACATCTCAACCGAAGGATAGAGCCTGTTTACAGTATAGTGTCCCCGTCAGTACCTAGATAAAGATCTCATGGGGAAAACTAAGGTTGATGCTAGAAGAAGTATTAAAGGGGGCAGTAAGGGGCCCTCACCCTGTGGTCTGTGTGGGTCCTAATGCCCCACTAAATTGAAGAGGACACTATACTGTAAAAAGGCACTGTCTTTTGGATGAGATGTAAAACTGAGGTCCTGACTCTCTGTGGTCATTCAAAATCCCAGGGTGTTTCTCGAAAAGAGTAGTGATGTTACCCTGGCAAACTGGCCAAATTTCCCATTGTCTGTTACCAATCATGGCCTCCTAATAATCCCCATCTATGAATTGGCCTTATCACTCTGTTCTCCTCCCAATTGTTAGCTGATGTGTGGTGAGTGTACTATGGCACTATGTGCACTATGGCTGCCATTGCATCATCCAGATGGATGCTGCACATTGGTTGTGGTGGAGGGGAGTCTCCATTATCTGTAAAGCACTTTCAGTGGGGTGTCCAGAAAAGCACTTTTTTAAGTGTAGGAATTATTATTATTGTTAATGAAAAAAATAAAACAGTACTTTTTTGGATAATGGTTTAAAAATGATCAAAATGGTAATTCATCTGTAGGTTATTGTAGGATATCCTGTTGGATGAAGAAAATAATTTTAATATTAAAGGTAAAATTGTATTTGTTCTAAATTACAGTTGATGCCATTGGAACTGGATGACAGACAGGACTTTGTTTTGACAAAAAAACTTTTTTTTGGTTTAGTAAATTGAAATGCTGCAGTTTTTTAACTGAAGAACACAAAAATGATGTCAGAAAGAGAGGAGGCATTTGGGCTAGTGGAACCAAGCATTTAATCTAGCTGTTTCATGATGGATCACAGGGTATCAATTTCAAAAACCTGGGAATGTGTTCTATTCATGGTATTCTGTGTTTGAGAAAACTATTCATCCCTTAAGTACATGTATTTCCTTTGTGAAAGCAAAAACAACTGCCTTTTCTGTCTCTTGTTTGTGTTTTTAGGCTATAAAGTCCACTATGTCTGCAGAGAAGACCAAAAGCTTCTGTCATGTAGTGGTGTCCTCAAACCTGCGTGATGGATTCTCCCACCTTATACAGTCGGCAGGGCTGGGTGGCATGAAGCACAACACAGTGCTAATGGCATGGCCTCACAGCTGGAAACAAGATGACAATTCCCTCAGCTGGAGAAACTTTATTGGTGGGTATCTGCAGCAAGAGCTCTGGTTTGCAATGCTATAATTCATTTAAGCATGAGGCTGTGAATACAAAACTTGTAATGAATTACTGGCCTATCTTTTTTCTAAGCCCTTATGTAAAAGAATACTTCCACATAAACATGAACTGTTCCACATTCGCAGTATATCACAGTAATTCTGCTTTATACAGTCGTACTGAAAGTACTATATGCAACATCTTATTCTAAAAGATTTACCTATTAATGTTAAAAATATGTATGTCTATATTGAACAAGACACACGTTAATAGATTTAAGCATTTAATTTCTGTAGTTGATACATGCACAGATAAAAATCTTTAAAAAGGGAGACATATGTTAAACTTTGTGAAAACAAATAATGAGAAGGTTCAACTTTAATCCCATAAGTAAAACATTGTGTGTAATTGTTGTCTTTCTTTCATCACACAGACACAGTGAGAGAGACCACAGCTGCACATCAGGCCCTGCTGGTTGCCAAAAACATAGACTCATTCCCTAGCAATCAGGAACGCTTCAGTGAAGGTACCATTGACGTGTGGTGGATAGTCCATGATGGAGGACTACTCATGCTGCTGCCCTTTCTGCTGCGCCAGCACAAGGTATGCATTGCAGATGCTAATGGAAACTGTAGCACATGGCACAGAAGGTCTTGAAGAATTCATGGGGGGCACACTGCTGTCTTTAGTATGAAACAGAAAGCAGACTGATGATAAGCTGTGCATTAGCCTCCTCGGTGGTGGGATCAAGCAATCTTGCCAAGCAGTGCTGTTGACTACAACTAAAAAAAATATATATTTTAAAGATTGAAAATAAAGATTTCTCTCTGTTTTCTCTGCAAACAAGGTATCAACAATCTATATTCATAACTTTTCCAGCACAATTAAACAATCTCAAATGTATTTTACAAATGTCAGTAATTTGTTATATGTTTCAGACATAGTGGTCTTACTGTTAATTGATTTCAAATCATTGTTAGCAAACACCTCTGCAATGCAAGACTCCATGGTCTCCTTAGCAGCTCTGATTGGCCTGCTCTCCCTGCAGGTGTGGAGGAAATGCAAGATGCGCATTTTCACTGTAGCCCAGATGAATGACAATAGTATTCAGATGAAAAAAGACTTGCAGATGTTTCTGTATCACCTCCGGCTTGATGCTGAAGTAGAGGTAGTGGAAATGGTAAGTACTTTCTTGTGTCAAGTCTTAGTTTATTGTGTATCAATAGTGCAGTGACACTAATATCATCTAATGCTAAATATAAAAAAAGTTCTAACCTTTGTTCTCCCCTCAGGGTGGCATATTAATTGTTTTCAGATTCAAAACCTTGAACATCAAGGGCATTAGTTATTCATTCATTTGAATGTAGGGAATGCAATTAATATTGGTACCTGGTTTTCTTCAATCCACCAGCATGACAGTGATATCTCAGCTTTCACATATGAAAAAACATTAGTGATGGAGCAGCGCTCTCAGATGCTGAAGCAGATGCAGCTTTCCAGGACAGAGAGAGAAAGAGAGGTAGGTAATTTATAGCTGGTGCAGGGCTACTTCTTAAAAGCATGAACTGGATTTAAACTACAATCTGAACCTGAAGAAGCTGAACCTGAACCCAAGAAGAGCATCTATCAATGCTTGAAAGCCCAGCCTTATTAACTTCTATTAACATTATAACTCCTTTGTCAGTGAATTTGTCTGGGAGCAGCTGTTGTAAAATACTAAGTCCATTTAAATCAGAAAAGCTGATTATTTCATTTGACAACAGGAAATAAAAATATGAGACAGCACATCAGCACTTAATTTTGTTTTATTAGCACAGCATAGTAACTGACGTGAACTCTCCTTCTTGTCTGCTGGCTATGCTCGGTGGCATCTTGTGTCTCAGATTCAGAGCATCACTGATGAGTCTCGTAGCTCCATTAGAAGGAAGAACCATTCTAGCACGCAGCCTGACAGCACTGATGATCACGTCATCCAGCTCAATGACAAACAAGAGGATGAGGTAGCCCAGAGTCCCCTGATTATTGCCTCTCCATCCCCAGTCTCACACCTGCAGTGCCACTGGCAGACCCTCATGCCCAACAATTCAGGACTGAAAATGAATGCTTTAAGGCATAAAATAACAAAATAATAACAACTAAGTAATTTACCAAACATGGTAATTTGATTACATAAAATCCAAATTAAGTGAAGGAAGGTTAACTTTTTTAATTTAAGAATCACCCTTTTTTATTTTTTGTCTAGTACAGTGGCTTTGTAAGTGTGGGTTTCTCCAAAAACCTTAATCTCATAATCCAGCATGTGTGTTATTAGTGTGTGAACATGGTTTCAGGCCCTCCTGTCTGTGTTTCAATTTTATGTACTAGAAATGTTTAGTGCTTTACATGTTGCTAATGTTAAAATATATTTAATAGGATATTTTTTAATGGCAAGAGAAAACTATGGTTCATTGTTTTATTTTTTTATTTTCTAATATTTTTTTACTTAAATTAATAAAATATTAAAGTAGCACCATGGAAAACTACCCAAACTACCCAACAATTATGGAAACACCTAACTGTTGTGATACTAAAAGTTGATAATTAGTAATTCTACAGTATGTATGGGGGAGGGGTGGTATAAAAACGTATTTCTTTTGATTAGAATTAAAAATACTGTAAAAAATCTGTTTAGTCTTTGTCTTCTCCCAAAATCTGTGATTTACAGTCAAACTCTCAAATCTAACAGTCGAGACTTGAACATGAATTCTGAAAAAAAATATTTGTATAAAGCCATCCATCTATTTTCTAACCACTTCTTCCAATTGAGGGTACACTTGGATGGGATGTCAGTCCACCACAGGGCTCACACACTCTCACAACCTGGCCATTTTTCTCAGAAACTAATTAACCTTCTGTCACTATCGTAAACCCCTCCTCTTAAGGATGCTCCAGCCCTTCCTTGTCTGTTCTTGATCTCCTGCACCTGCCTCCGGTTCCTGCCCCTGTCCTATAAAAGCCAGATGTTGCTGCCAATCTTGGCTCAGCTTTGGAAGATGGATGCCCAGAAGCCCACCTACACGCCAGTCCAGGAGCGACTCAATGGCTTCATAACGGCTTCCTGACCATCTGGGTCCGGGACTAGGAGTGCCTGGCCTCGTAACCCCCTTTTATTCCCCCGACCCTTCGCCGGATCCCGCTCTGGCTTTTAACTTTGTCCGTCTGTGTCAGGATGGATCACCCGGCTTTGGACATAGGCTTACTCAGGTTATTCTCATGGACTCCCTTTGGACACACCCCCAGTTCTTCTTCCAGCCCCTATTCTAGTCTGTTTTCCCCGTGTTTTCTCACTCCCTTCCGGATTGTGCTGTCTGCATAGGGTCCTGAAAGACGATTTGTGACACCTTCCAGTTGTTCTGGATTGTGTAAGGAAACTGAACCAGGAGCAAACCCATATGAATATGGAGAGTGCAAATTCCAAGCAGATAGTACCCCAGTTCCAGAATTGATTCCACAACCCCAGAGCTGCAAGGCAGCAATGATAATCACTATACCACAGTGCTGACTAAAGCCATACAGTATATGTAAAGTTAATTAACAGTATAGAAATAGGATTTGGTTGTTTTAGCCTTGCTTTTCGTTAGAAAGAAAAAACCAAAACTATTTGTTATTGGGAAATGATCTCAAAGTTCTAGGTTCTGTGAGCAGATAATATTTGTTTTTGAATGTTGTAATTAAATTTTTTCAGTAGAATCAAAGTATTATTAAAGTATCCTATAAAGTGAATACATTCTAAAAAGTTACATCTACAGTACCTTATTTAATTTGAGCTTTTTTCAAAAGTTAAATGAAATAAAACAATGAAGAGGAAAAAATCCTTAGAAACAAATGTTTTATCTGGCTGGTGTGATTATTAAGCCTATTTACACTGTAGAGCCAGTCATTTGGAGAACAGTTCCCTAACATCCCAGCATTATGTAAACATTTGTGAATTCAGTCTGTATCTAGACTCCAGCAAGAAGGAAAACAGCTTAAGAGCTCCTGCAGTGATGAAGGCCTTTGGTGATGCTTGCAGTTTTTGTCCATTAAACTTGCTATCTGTGTTGAGAAAGAAGTAGTAGTTGATTACAAGTACCTGTAGAAACCTTTTGTTATTCCAAAATTTCAGGCCCAGCTAATCCACGACAGGAACACAGCATCCCATTCCACTCTCAGTGCCAAAGCAGATGCCACACCAGAGAGAGTGCACATGACCTGGACCAAAGACAAGCTCATCTCAGAGAAGAACCGAAACCGAGAGGCTAACATAGGAGTCCGGGACCTCTTCAACATGAAACCGTGAGTGTTTTCTCCTGACAGCTCTGACTTATTTCTGTGTAAATATGTTTAGCAATGTGAACAAAAAACAATGGAGTCTTTTACAGCCTTTGTTGAACATCTCAAGCTAGTAGTTATCGAAAGAGAAAATAAAAATTTTGCACAAGCAGGTAGAAGTAAATAAATCTCTTGACAAACTGCACCTTGCCCTGATATCAAAGCATCCTAGTCGTTCTTTCTGGGACTCAAGTCCAGATAAATTTAATCCCACTATTCAATTTTGTAAACATTTGTCTTCAGAATTTGCTGAGTAGATGCATTTTAAGATGTAGTGTAGGTGCATGGCTAGCAGCTACATCACCCTGCAACTCACAAACTGGCAACCCACTGAGGCTAAGCAAGTGTGAGCCTGGTCAGTATCTGGATGGGAGATTTCCTGCGAAAAAGTAATGTTGCTGCTGGAAGAGGGTTACTGGGGCCAGTAGGGGGCACTCACCCTGCAGTCTGTGTGGGTCCTAATGCCTGAGTATAGTGAAGGAGACACTATACTGTAATAAGGAGCCAGATAAGGTGTAAAACCGAGGTCCTAGCTATCTGTGGTCGTTAAAAATCCCAATGCGTTTCTCAAAAAAGATCTCAAAATATCCTGGCTATATTTCCCATTGACCTTTAGCTGTCATGGCCTCCTAATAGAATTCCCAATTCTATGAATTGGCTTCATTACTCTGTTCTCCTCCCCGATGATATTTGATGTGTAGTGAGCGTACTGTGTAAATATCTAGGCAGTGCTACACCTCAGTGTTGGTGCAGGGGATTCCAATTACCTGTAAAGCGCTTTGAGTGGTGTGTCCAGAAAAGAGCTATATAAGTGCAAGACATTATTCATTCTTTTATTAATTTTAAACTCTTGTCCATACAAATGTTAAGTAATTTGAAATCTACAGCATTTATTAATATGGAGTTTAAGTATTTTCTATTAATCAAAATACGGTTTCATATAGTGTTCAGTTAATCAAGTGAGGGGAAATCTGATTCCCTGGTATGTTATACATAGACCAGCATGATCAATAACAGTTTTATGTTTGCTCATCTTTGTAGTGCTCTGACCAAACTGTGCAACACCAATCTGATAATGACTATTTAGTGTTTTCTTAGCTTTTCTTAGCTACTCCAGCAGTTGAATTTTCTATACATCACAGGCTTGAAAAAAAGGCTACTTATGTAAATACCTTGTAGATTTATATGAAGTTGTTATTACTTCACTTTTGTAAGGATGATAACTGTTTACATAAAAAATAAATAGAACATTTCACAGAAGTTCTCAAAATAATAAAAGATCAAACATAGAAGACTTTTGAAAACTTCTTTCATTTGAGTTGGCACCTTCTTAGGTTTCTGTATGACCATGCCTATGAGTGGTGATAATTGTTTTTGCAGATGTGTAAAAAATACCCACATAAACGAGCAAGATGAATGATGCTGCACAGAAAAAAGACTAAAGTGTTTTTTTCCTATGTGTTTTTTCTCCTTCTAGAGAATGGGAAAGTCTGTAAGTCACATTTATGTTTGCCTATGTGTGATGATAGTCTTGGTTTGAACTTATTGCCTTGCAACTCATAAGGACTGCACTCCTTAGCGGTGTAGCTTACTGAAACCTAGGAAACCGTGTTTCTTTCTGTATCCCACACATGGGAGTCAAGACAGGTTCTGTGAGCTGGAATGGTGCTTCACAGTATTATTTGCATGTAACTTATATAGCATGTGTGCTGTAACGTATTTTGCTGCTTTCCATACATAAAACCTCCAGACCACTCTTCGGTCTTGGTCAGTTTGTGAGCAGAGATTTCATGCTACAGTACACTATCACAATTTGCAAGTTGCATTGCAAAGGATTCAGACAAGTTGTGTATCATTTCCAAACAGTGTTTCAATTTAGAACACATAAAAAATACAAAATAGAACATGAGGAAGTTTACAAATGAGAGACCTGTACTCCCACCTTGCTTTTTTGCTAGGAACGTTTTGATCAGGTTATCCTGTTCCATTGATTCTTGGAGGAGCCACAGGAATCTACTTTAAGAACATGGCTCTGTAACGTATTCCAGACACACACAGCCTCTTGCACTTCCTGTAATTTCCATTTGTGTTCCAGGGTATTGTTGCAAATAAATCCTAGTAATTGTTTTGTCAGTACCCTTCAGGCTTTATTGAATACTTGTGTCATATCCTCTCATTATCGTCTCTGTTCAAGACTGAATAAATCGGATCCTTTACCCTGAATATGAATGACATTTTTGACTCAGAATTAAACTGGTAACTCTTATATGAATTCTTTTCTGAGCAAAAATAATCCAAATAGTACACAGTTTTCTTAATAACTAGCAAGCTAATTAGTTGTACAAGATACTAGAACCATTGGATGTTCTGTGTAGCTGCAATAGTATATTCTGAAATATTCTGCACAAAACTTATTTTTAAGGCTTTTCCTTGTTTTTGCAGTGTATGGAAAGCATATGTTTCAGTAAGCATTATGTTCCTGTGTATAACAAGCTTTGCATTTACCTATTACAAATTTATTTTCATTTTTTTTTCAAATTCAGCTATACTAAGTACTTGACGCACAGAAGGTGCTATGATCTTTTTCTTTAATAAGAATGGATTCTTAGTCTACATAGAATTTGATCTGGATATTTTGTCTTGAAATAAATTATCTAAAACATTTAATATTAAAATATATTTTTATATGAAAAATTCAAAGATTTATATAAGAATAATTGTAATGTCTTAAAACACACATAGATACACATAGATACATTTTGATGTCTGAAAACAATTAAATTAGCTTTGAGCAAAATGTGTTTTATTTTAATTGTAATACATGGCAAAATAATAATAAAAGAACAAGAAAAATAATTTCAAGCATATGCAGTGCCTTGAAAACATATACACCACCTTCAAATGATGTCTCTTTTAATCAATATTTTAATTATATTTGATCATCTTGAATGCTTACAGTGAATACTTGATATATACAGTATATTGGTGAAAAGTTAAATGTCTGCAAAAATAATTCGGGACAATAATCTAAAGCACAAAAGATTTGAATTGCAACGCTGCCCAGCAGTTTTGCCAAACCAACTTGAAAGAGCTTGAGCAGATATACAAAAAGACAACTTCACAATCCCTGTGTGTAAAAATGGTAAGCAAGTCTCATCCAAAAAGACCTCAAGCTGTAATTGGTGCCAAATTTATTTTTACCAAGTATTTACTCAGGGGGTGGAAACATATGCAATCAACATACTGTATTTTGGTTGCAAAAATGTTCCATCATAATTTTTGCTGATGTTTATCTTCTTTCATCCATATAAATCTCCAGTCTGAGCTTTTGTTTTGATAAAAATATTCACTTTATGAACATGTATACACCTGTACCTCTTTAACAACTTCATTTTAGTTTTTACATTTTACAAGTTATTTTTATGAAAATTTGATACCAAGAAGAATGTGCATTGTTACCCATCACGCATAATTGTTTCGAATAATGAAAGCCAGCTTCAAAACTATGAAGAGGTGATATGAAGAAAATGTTCAAAACCTCTGCCAAATGTAGAGAGCAAAGAGCTAGGTGTCATACGACTCATTTCATATTGAGCGTACACATCACATTCCACTAACTACTATGGGTGAGAGCTAAACAGAGCCTAAGGAGTGGCACAAGAGACGTGTAATACAGTTTACTGCTTCTTGATGCGGTGTTTGCTATTGTGTGCTCTCTTACTTTTCATAAGAATATTTGTGGTTTAAACTTCATCATGGACCCTAAAGATGTTAAAATTAAAAATTGTGTGTGTGTGTGTGTGTAATTACACCAAAAGCAAATGAAGTGGTTGCTGTATATGATTAATGAGGTAACTTTACTTAGCAGGTAAGTAATGTTTTTTATTACTAAACACACAAACCACAATATGAAAGTTAATTATTACAGTTTCTTTTGTCATTTTTTGGTGAAAAAAGTCCAGAATGGATGCTAATTTTTCCCATAAGAAATAATGGAAACAGGTTTTTCTTCTTAGGAATTTGGTTTCTGGGGAATTTCTGTTAATAAAAAGAGGTATTGGTGTACTTAATTGTGTTTCAAGAAAGGGGAAGGGGGTGAATAGTTTTGCAAGGTACTGTATAAATAATGTTTTATTAGTAGAATAATGGATTGGATTGATTTATTTAATTGTTACCTTTTTCTGTTTCATTTGACCGTTTGTAGTTTGGGTGGAACAGCCTGTTTTATTCTATGAGCTTCCAAACAACAACTCATCTTCATTATGATTTAGCATTAAGAGAGTTGTTTCCATCACACATTATCTGCTGTCCATCTTTGATTAAACACACTGTATGATGCTTTAGAATTGAATAACTGTGCTTAAGTTGAACTGTGCATTTAGAGCTCTGGGGCATTGTGGTATTTTTATTACTATTGTTATTACTATTAGTATAATGGTATGGGATTAAGAAAATTTTGTTTTCTTTTGTAATTGGTGTTTTATCTAAACAATACCATTCATGATTCTGCTTTAAGAATATTAAAGGAGAATTCAGTTTGGCCCTGGCTCAATCTCTCATTTTGAAAAGTAAAGAAAGTGCAGCAGGGCTTCCCTTGCTCAGATACAGGATATGTGATGTTACAAGGACAGCCTTAATATACACATAAATGCTTAAAATTATATCAAACCACTGAACAAAGACCTATCATACTGCATCTGGTAGTACTTTTCACCTAGATTGACCACTCCATGGTGTTAGATATGCACCATATGCATATGGGTGATATGCAGATGCAGCCATTCAAAATGCGCGGGAAAACTCTGTAATGCGCAAAATTATCTGCAGATTAGCGCGTTATACTGCAGCACGTGATTGGCTGGCTAAAATGACCAACAGGCGGCACTCGAGGTACATTGGTTGTTAGTGAAATGATTGCTTTATTTAATCTCTTTACTGTGCATGTTAAAATCCTCTTAATATTGAATAATAATATGGAATTTTACAACTAAAGGGAAATTTTGGTAGCTGAGCACAAAAATAATGGGAGCATAACATCTCTGAACGTCAGAAATTATATTAATTTTGGAATATAATCGTATTATGTAAACTGTATATGGATGGTATTGGTAGTTTAAATAAGAAATACACACCAGTATTCCATTTCTTCATAAAGATTTTAAGCATCAAAGTCTTTCATTCGGTTACTTACTGTGGTTATTTTTGAAAAGTTTTTACGTGCTCCTTCTGACTTTATTAAGTTTATATACTTCATAAAAAGTTATATTGTTTTAACCTTTTCTATGAATACTTGTAATCGTGATTGCAGTAAAAGAAAAGCATACTTTTTAGAATTTGATTAATAGGGAATATAATATGGAATCGCGTATCTAAAGAAATTAATAATGATATAATTATATTCATATAGCTCAAATTATTACCATAGTCCACGTTCTTTGTAAACATCGCATCAATTTGACTCATTCACCCGTGATTATTTGGAAACTTTTTGCCTGCCCTTTCAGCTATAGCTTAAGTTGTTAAGTGACGCGTTGGTGTAATGGTTTTGGCATATGACTTGCATGCTGGTGGTTGGGGGTTTGAACCCAGCTCTTGGTGGAGTTTTCTTTTAGCAAATAAACATTTATTTGAAAAACTAAAATAGTAAATATTTGGACACTATATTAAATGTTTTGGTGTTTCTAAATATCGCAACATTTTCTAAGTTAAGTGATTTATTAATAACAACTAATAATTTCAAACTGCTTGTATTTTAAAATTGTATTTTGTTTGAGGTGATTTGTCACTGTTTTGAGACAGGGTGTTCCACACCTCTGTTTAATTTCTGAAGCTCCCTCTGTATTCCATGTTTTAACCTTTCTATGAATACTTGCACTTGTTATCGCAGTAAAAAACCTCAAACTTTTTAGAATCCGCATCTCATTTGAACGATGTGCCTCAGGGACTCATTATAGTATTGTAGCGAATCCGATTCGTGCAGGAAAATCGCAATGCGGGGACAGTATAGCCCTCCACTCCCCTGCACATGACAGGGATGTTGGCTGGATAGGCTGAAGAAGATCTGTAGCTAAGCTGGCAAAACCTCTGTTGAGTAATGCAGGAGACCTGGGTTCGAGCCCATGTGGTGGAGGACGAATCAAGACTGGAGCAGTGAAAGCACAAGGCCAAAAAAAAGAAAAAATAATTTGTTTTAATATTATTAATAATATATTCCATATTGCATTTACATTGGAATGTTTTTACAAATATAAGAAGAGGTGATACACAGCGTGTAAATAGAACCATTTTCCGTCCTTTAACTTAAAGAATTCCCTGAAGACATCCTAAATCACAAAACCATCTCTTATAATAATTCATCCAGATACACACACTCACACCATAGCCAACAATAAGCTATAATAGTAGACAATTTGTATATATTCGGCTATGTAAGAAACAAAGTAATTCTCTGATCGCCTGGGTGCAGCCCACTACATGACAGTCCATTGCCTATTACCACTATAAGGACAATTCTATATTTTTTTTAAAACAAACCTCAAATGTTTCCAAAATGTCCCCTTGAGACATTTAGGCTGCTTAGTTACACGACTCCATGTTAATATTACTATCAAGTACAACTTTTATGAAATTCAAGTATTTTAAATGTTTAATTAAAAAGTAAAAATCTTATAGCATACACAAAGATTCTGAGCTGATCACGAGGAAAAAAATCAGAAAAATAGAAAGTTTTTAACTATCTAAACTAGTTATGTACAGCTTTTAAAGTCTTGCAATGTTTGAGTTAGGCAGGAACATTTAATTCAATCTTATTTTTTATTTCATTTTTTTAAAATAAAAACATTGTTTCCCCATCGTGTTGATAAGCTGTTCCCCGATTACTGGCAATTGTAAAAAATAATCCTTCCCCCCTCCCTCATTTAATTTAATGTTTGCCATGAAGAAATCCTACGTATAATAATTCATCCAGTTGGTTCCCTGTTTAATGATGCTGACGGACCAGGTTTTATTCCAGGCGGTGTACTATATAGTACAGTTTAAACTTTTTGTTAAGTTTGTTAATTTAAATTGTTGGCTGATTACTGGCTGCTGACATTTGGATTAAGACAAAATATCGATTTTCTCAATTCGGGTGTTAACTTTGTAGTGTGCTCTCTGAAGGCACCAGTTCTGTAGGGTTTGGGCATTTACTGGGACAATTATTAATTGTAGCAGTAAATCACAAAATTGATTATTTTGAAGGCCTCAGAATCCAACCATGAGACATAACTCAAACAACGCACACACACAGGTACTAATACACGAGGATACATTTATTAATACATAGAATATGCATGTAAACCTAACAGATCTTATCGAGAGGGTT